CTATGGGACCTCGGGGCCAGGCGAGACTGGAGAAACCTTCTAGCTGCAGGGAGATAAGATGAAAACAAGAAGTAACGAAGGGAGAGTGTGGGATTCTGAAGGGAAAGTATTAATTTTAGCTCAAGGGGAAGATTTAATTTTCTGAGCATTAGTCATATATATCACATTGGTAGCCCTGAGTTATATCTCAAAAGGTTGCTGTGAACTCCCCCATACACACACATTCCTTTCTTCTAATTTTATAAGCAAGGTAATGGAGGTGACTGTATAAAAGAAGGAGTGTAGTAACCACACACCATTAGGGTGACGCAAGTTGAGTTTATAAGCTTTCTTGGTTAATGAAGTTTTACATCCTAGAAAATTGAAGTTTTATGGCTTGGAAAGGGTCAAAGATTTAAATAATTGATAGGTCTTATACGAGGAGAGATTCAACCATATTTCTGAGAAAGAAGATCCTTTCCCAGGCTTTCCATCCTGCCTCAGTGGTTTGCAGTTTTAGGATTAATAAGTTTCAAATAACTTTAGAAATACTTATTTTTTTGTATGTATATCTATATACCAGTTGCATGTCTGGTGTCCAGAGTATGGAGGAGGGTGTGTCCCTGGACCAAGAGTAACAGATGATTGTGAGTCGCCATATGGGTGCTAGGAATTGAACCTGGGTCATCTGTAAGAACAGTCAGTATTCTTAACTGCTAAGACATCTCTCCAGCCCCAATTTGAATAATTTTGTTGAATACCTTTTTATATGCTTTAATGTCTCTCAGATACACTGATGAAATTTCTGTTCATAGTTTTGTTCATTAACTCCTTCACTATCTTCTTATAACTGAATTGTAATGGTCATTTTATTATATATCTCAAAAGTTAGTCAGTGTCTTAGTTACTTTTCTATTTCAGTGAAAAACATCATAACCAAGGCAACTTATACAAGAATACATTTAATTGGGCTTACGATTTCTGAAGTTTAGAATACATGATGGCATGTAAAGGCATGGTGGCAGGAACAGCTGAGAGCTTATATCTTGAACTGCAATCAGGAAACAAAATTGACACTAGGAAAGGCACTTTTGAAACTTCAAAGCCTTCCCATAGCATCACAACTCCAATAAAGGCCACTCATCATATTCTATCCACATGGCTTTACCCTCTGAGGACAAAGTATTCAAGCAGAAGAAACTTTGTGAGCCATTATTATTCAAACTATCATGGTCATTCTCAATTTTGATGAAGTTCAAAATTCTATGTTTTTTTCCCATTTTTAGCTTAGATATGCTGCTGTGGGATGGTCTGTATGTCAAGTGTGTTGCTGATTGGTCAATAAATAAATCACTGATTGGCCAGTGGCCAGGCAGGAAGTATAGGCAGGACAAGGAGGAGAATAAAGCTGGGAAGTGGAAGGCTGAGTCACAGAGACACTGCCAGCCGCCACGATGAGAAACAGCATGTGAAGATGCCGGTAAGCCACGAGCCACGTGGCAAGGTATAGATTAATAAAAATGGATTAATTTAAGCTGTAAGAACAGTTAACAAGAAGCCTGCCATGGCCATACAGTTTGTAAGCAATATAAGTCTCTGTGTTTACTTGGCTGGGTCTGAGCGACTGTGGGACTGGCAGGTGAGAGAGATTTGTCCTGACTGTAGGCCAGGCAGGAAAACTCTAGCTACAATATGCATAGAAGTTATAAAAATATTTATTTTCTCCCATCACTAAAAGATTTGCTTTGAATTTCAAGTCACCTGCTGAAGTATGTAGTAAATGTTTATTTCTTTTAGATGGTTGTACATTTAACAAATTATAATGATTTTGTTATTGAATTCACTTTTCACCGTTATCTAAAATCAATTGATCAAATATGTGGGGATCAGTTTTTGGAAATCGAAATGTGTCTGATTTTTTTCCTGGCCAGAGCAATGATGGCCTGATTACTTAAGTTGGCAAAAATTAAATTATAAACTCCCCAACTCTGGCATTTATCATTTCAATTTACATGTTTTGTTTGCTTGTTTGTTTTCAAAAGAAAAACCTGGTGAAATTAGAAGAATATGTAAAATCTAAAGATTTATGGGGTAATGGTATATTTCTTCACTTCTTGGGAAATTTTTCATTATCCCCAGAAAATTTTTTGTAACGTCTCTATCCTAGAATTAGTTTATACTCTCCTTGATCTCCAATGTTTAAAGATTCACAAAATAAAACTGGCAATTCGGCTAAAGAAGGACCACTGAATGAGAAGGAAGGCAAACAGGAAGCTAAGTAAAGACAGTCTTTAAACAAGGAGAAAATGACTAACTCTACCAATTACTGACATTATGTCAAGTAAAACAAGGACTGCAAACTGGCTACTGAGACTTTTAAATGTGTAATCCAATTTTAAACATGACAAGAGGTACTTATGTGGAATGTGGGGACAAAAGACCAATCAGGCTGGATTCAAGCAAGGGTCAGAACCTATACATTGGAGGAAATGAGTATAGACAGTTTTTTTCATGGTGCATTGTATTAACAAGGAGCCTGGAAATGGAGCAGAAGCTGGAGAAAATGAGATACCAAAAACATGAGTAATTTTAAAGATTTGATAGTACAAAAGCACATCTCTATGCTATAAGCATGAAAAGAGGAAGATCTGATAATTCTGAAAGAGAGAAGAATGGCTTGAATAGTCTTGCACATATTTAGAAGATAATATGACTGTCAAGGTGACATAGAGAATTGGCTTGAGGAGAAAAAACTCTCTCTTCATCTTGAGGAGCACTAGGGGAGTCTGTAACTGCAGACAGAGTGACTGATGCATGCTTAGATACAGTGATAGGAAAGGAATAAAATTCCTTTACATTCCTTTCTTACTAATATAAAAAGGAAGGAAGTCAACTGTCCTGGAGCATGGGGGAGACGTTAGGCACTAGAGTAAAGGGATATATCTATACCAAATTAATTCCACCTCGTGAGAAAATCTAGTTTAATACTAGATGACCGGTTGTCTCATATACAAAATGATACATTAAAATTTTGTTTTCACCATAAGTGGTAGGCTTCAAAAGGCCAGCTCATGCACCAGGGATGGATCCTGATCCTACGGCCAGGCGGCCCCTTAAGCAGATCAAGCTACACAGCTGCCTCGCTTATGGAGAGGGCCTAGTCCAGTCCCATGGAGGCTCCACAGCTATTGGTCTAAAGTTCATGAGTTCTCACTAGCTTGGTTTGGGTATCTCTGTAGGTTTCCCAATCATGATCTTGATGCATGCTCATAGAATCCTTCTTCTCTGTCTTTGGTTGGACTCCTGGAGCTTGGCAGGGTGCTTGGCTGAGGATCTCTACATCTGCTTCCATCAGTTACTGGATGAAGGCTCTATGATAACAGCTAGGGTACTCACTGATCTGATTACTGGGGTAAGCAAGTTCAGACACCCTCTCCACTGTGGGAGAAGGGAGGAGAGGGAGATCTGTGATTGATATGTAAAATGAATAAAAAATTATGTATTTAGAGGGTCCCATCATATCCATGCATGACAATAGGAATCTGTAATCCCAAGACTTGAAAGGGTAAGACAGGAAACAGAGTTAGAGGCTGGTGTAGAAAGAATTATGAAACCATGTCCCAATATAAACAACAACAACAAAAAATAACCAACAACAACTAAAAAGAATCACCTTCCCTATGAAGCTCTTGATGATGGAACTTGCCCATATGGACAAATGACCTGCTGCGTGGTTGTAGTTACAGAGAATTATAATCCATTGGCATCCAAAAATCCAGTTATACAGGTCTTGTTTATCGAATAAATCAAAGTCAGGTCAAAAGTTACCTTTACTTAACTCCATTTGATTTGTAGTTTTGTTTTCTAAGCGTTTATTTTTTAAATTTCAGATGTCAAATATACGCTTTTTTTGTGTCATGACCTGAAAATATTTTTGTGTTATACGCATGTTTGTATGTGTTATGATCTTTATGTACATACATGTGCTTTGTATTTGACTTAGCTTTTATTTTCCAGTCTCTTCAAAAACCATTCCAAGACCCAGTAGTATTAAAAAGTTTTGTCAGAGGGCTCTGTGTAAAACACAAAGAACGTTTATTTATTTAATTGTTTTTAAACAGAGCTCTTACACAAACACATGCAAACTCCCTCTTTACCCAGAACACTGTAAGCACACTGTTTAGCAGAGCAATGCTAGGTGTCTGGTCTATTTGACTCTACTTTATATAATTTGCTATCTTTAAGAAGGCTAATGCACATATTTAATTTAGAAGGGTTGTGCTGATAGACCTTTGATTTTATTTCCCCTTCTCTTCACTTTAACTAGCACCAGGAGCTGCTGGCATCCTTCAGAAAGCTTACATTTGAACACAGTCTAAATCGGTGCAGACCCTTGACCGGCTTAATCTTTGCTTGCAAATGACAATGCAGTGAAACCAGAGAAAGAAAGAAGAAGAAGAAAAACTACTTCCTTTCCTGTTGGATACCTAATAAGTAGTTAGTCTGACCCAGTTTTCAATAAGAACGATTTTCTGATGACCCAACAGGAGTGACTATATCTAGTGAAAGAATAAGGGGGGGGGGGGTGAATTTAATCTTTCTTGCTACTGGAATGGCAGCTGCTCCCAGCTGCCTGAGTCTGTGAAGGATGGGGAAGACAGAACTGGCTTTCAGTGTGGAGAGAATTTTCCCTTTGAATATTCTAAACGGGAGCTTTGCACATGTGCCTCAAGAACTAATTGTCTAGGTTCTGTCAGGAATGCAGCAGGAGAGGAGCGTATTTCATGCTTAAGACCAGAGAGGAGCCACGCAATACTCAGTGGATAAAAGGCTTGCAGTCCCAGCTGGGAAAAAGAGTCCCATTATCTTCCAGCTGCATAGACATTCCATACGGCTTGGTTCTGCCTGGATGCACAGCATGCCTGGCTGAGGGCTCCAGACAGAGTTCTGCAGAAAAATTGTAAAGATCCCGAGACATTTCCCTGGTAAGATCCGTAAGTACAGAATTGCGCTGTCTGCTGCAATGAGAATTTTGCTGGGCAAGCTGCAGCTTTTCTTGCTTTCTATCTCTTTGTATTAGTATAACAGGTAAAAGCTGGGGTTGTGTGTGTGGCGGGGGGAGTGTCTGTTTCATTGATGCTGTGTTTTTATGATGCTGATGGTTTAAAAACGTTTATTCCCTGTGAGAGAAAATATGCATTGAATCTGTATCGGGAGATGTAGGATCAAACCAGGCAAAGTGAGACTACAGGTTTATTTTTCAGTGTTTCACTAGTCTTTTGCTGCAGTAAAACTAATAGGCAAGACTGGATGACAGTGCTAATTCTGGTACTTTCCGAAGGCTACACGCCCTTTCTGTAACGGTAGACAGATCTGAAGATGTGACTGCTATTTTTTTTTCCTCCAAGGGCTGAGGGGTGGGGTTTGCAGTATCCACGGATGATTTAAAGGAACGGTTATAAAAGTTTCCTGGGGAAGGGATTTCACAACGGGAGAAACACAAGAGTGGAGGTCAAATGGGTACACCAAATTTCCTCTGACATTTTGGTTGCACCCGGCTTAAGATAATAGCATGTAGAGTCATGCTTCCTCCCCGTTTACACCAGCTGAGCCTGTTATGATAAGGATCTTATAATACTTTATGAAAGTTTCAGAAGTTGATGACTTGGGAGCAAAACTTTACAGAGTTCTCAGATTAGCCACTACATATAGCCCTAATGTTAACATGACAGTGTAACATTGGGGGTTTGGGGGAGATTGGAATTCATAGTTCTTGTTTCTCCAAATGAAAGCTACTTAAGTTTAAATAATCAACATCCTGACTATGTCTTCTGACAGGCATTCACGGAATAGCAAATAAAAGTTATCCTGAGGAAGAAAACAGGGAGAGCAGTGGCATTATACAGAATTAGCTTGAAAATAAGGGATTCATAATGTTCTATAGTGACAGTGTTTCTCAAAGATATCTATAAACCAAGGAAGCATATGTTGGGTATTGAATCTCCTGTTCTAAGCAGTTTTCATTTATCTGATGGATTTGTTTATCAGCTTTGAAAACCATTGTTGTTGAAATGTGTCGACGACTTGTGTGTATTGCAATCTACAATGAAATAACATATTTGAGCTTTGTTTTTCTAGCCCTCCCCCCAACATGTGTAAATATATACATTTCCACAGAACAAACATATGCACACAAAAAAGCTGCCACAATTTGTATAGCAAACAGAAATACAGAGTAATTTTATCTTTGATGCTTCACTGATTTTTTTTAGCATAATCATGGCTATGCAGTATAAAGACTTTCAATCAAGAAACTTTTATATAAGGGGCTTATATGAGGTTATATAAATGCATAAGTTATCAGCTCTTAGCAAGAAACCCATCACTTAAAATCAAATGTGCATCTTTATTTCCATTAAGCATTTCTAGTGACTGTCATAATTTTATTTTCAAGAAATGTAACTTTCTTTAATGAAACTGAATTTACTTGGTCACTTAGCAGATGATCACACATTTGGTCTGAGCTCTCTGTTCCCATCCCACACAAAATGAATTATGTTTTGAAGACAGTATGAAGTATATTAAGTTGACTATAGGCTTCTAGTCTTTAGATGACGGAAAATAGTGTAAGCAGACTGATACCTTTTTATTTTCCTTACAGAAAGAAGGGGATTATGAAATATTCACTTAGTTATTTAGCTACATATTTATACAGACAATATGTAAAGTAGAGATGTGCTAGCATAAGCTTCAGTACTTGGTAAAAAATAACCAAACAAAATATAAAAGCTTGAAAGATAGATCTCATCCTCTAATAATAACAATCATGAGGTATTATTTCTTTGCACCTAAAATTCTCATAATAAGATGAGATGGGGAGAAAGGTGCTTTATAGAGAATGGTTTCTTATAATATAGTCTTCTTTCTAAGAATAGGAGTACTTAGTGTGATGCTATCATCAATAATTGACAGATATCCTTGAAGAAGAATTGTATCTTACTCTATAAAAAAGAAGGTATATGATATAAGTTGCCAAAATTCTGTTATATATTTATTTGCAGTAAAATACTTGTTTTAGAAAAATAAATCTATATATATTAACAAAACTATGAAAAAAATAATGATTTGGAGCCATTTTAATACATATTTAAATATTAACCAATTCTTACAATTACACATCATTGTCAACAGAATCTTGCTGGGAACTCCTCTCAGATCCCTGCTCTTTGTGATCTCTGGAGAAAGAATTTTAAAAAAACATACAAATATAGTGTAGAAGAGAGGTGGTTATTAACAAGTATAGTAGGTACTCTCAGTGGATGATTGTGACCAGTGGCTAAGTAGATCACTGGAGAATTGAACTCTCTCACAGTGCGAGAATGGAGAATGGCCAGAGATATGTTGTGCACATTTATATTTTAGACAAGTTTTATCTGATGTCTAAAGTGCAGAACAGACAACTTTCTTAAAATGCTTATTTCTGTCTAGGAGACTCATAGACCTACTTGGACTGATACTTGTGGGAGGGGAAATAGTATATAAAGCCACTTGCTATACAGTAGTCTTCTAAGATTAAGGGCTTCTGAACCAGGCTTAGACAATGATCAATTAATGACATCCTTGGCAGTTTAGATGCCATGTGTTCTCTCAGGGCCAGATGACCCAGATCCTGTGCCTCTGAGAAGTAGATCCCTGAAGTTACAGCCCTGTTTTTATAAGCTGTTGGTCATAAGTGAGGAGTCTATCCCCAATGTCTATCTTCTAATGTCTAAATAGTATAAGTCTAAACCTAAAATTTTTTTTTCAATGCTTGAGGCTCTGGGATCATGTAGAAGGTTGATGTCTAGTCCTGGCTATTTTTCTACCCAAATGGGGTGTAGGACAATTTAAGGTCTCTACTTAAGCTGATTATCAAGCCTATTAGAATGCTCAACAGGAAAAATGTAGAACAACCTAAAGGTGAATTGATTGCAAAAGAAATAAAATTTAAAGAACAGATAAGCATACCAGATTGAGATTAATCATAAGAACACTATCACTATATTATTCATTCAGCCTTTTTTGATAATTTTGATAGTAGTATGAATCATATATATATATATATATTACAATAATCATTTCAGAGATTTGTATTATTGAAATTATGGTAATTACCGTAACTTTATTTTAGATTCATTTTAAATTTGAAAGAACTAACACTTTCCAATCAGCATTTACACCCTGATTCATCATTGTTTCTTGGGTGGGTGGGTCCCACTTTCTGGAACTGTATACAGAGAAAGTCACAGGTTCAATGTTTGTCCTGTGCCTGATTATTATTTTATTTTACACAGTCATGACAAGTTATCGTTTTAGAATCAAACAGTCATATTTTCATAAAGACATGCATATTTGTAAGCAGTACTGCAGATATCTCATATTTAAAGTTGTTACCCAGAAGTTTTAGTATTGCTTAATATGACTTGTTTTTCTCAAATTTTAATTTTTTTTGTTAAAATATTACTATAGTTGGTCAGTCTGAGACAACATCTTCTTGCCATTACTTTAAGATTCTTTTTTTTTGACCAAAAGGAATGTAATTATGTTTTACATATAAAGTTCAAGGAAATAATGTAGATGATCCAAAACATTACTGTGATGAGATTAAGTACATAATGGTCAAATTAAATTACCCTTCATTTGTTAAAAGAAGTTAATTAATATAAAATATCATGCAATTGTTTTTCATATAAGTTATTAATTGTTAATTTAATAAAAATTAGTATCAGTGTATTGTCTATTACAATCTGTAAGTTATTTAGGTATTGTTTCCTGAGAAAAATTGAGAAATCAATATCAAAGATTATATAATTCTAATAGGTAGTGTTCATATTCCAATATTTTCTTCATCTATTATCCTATGGCATTTCAAATAAAACTAAAAAATTAAATTCTTTCCATATTTGTTATGATATGCTTTGTGTATATTTGTACTACAGGAGGTTGTATGTGCCCCAATATCACTGAAGGAACTGATTCTTGCTCTTTGGTAAGACAGTCATCTATCAAACCCCCATTACTGAGTGTTTGATGGATATACAAATAAGATTCTTTCATTGCAGCAATGCTTTCAGCCCTGCATCTTTAGTTTGCCTACCTGATACTCGAGAGCATGCACAAACCAACTGTTACACATTTTCTTTTACTCTTTTTTTCTTCTGGATCACCATTTGTTTCCATGTTGGATCTTAATTGTTCATCTTGCATATCTATAAAAATTATTCAAATTTGTTTTAAACTTTGCATTGTTTTATTGTTATCTCAAGTGGTTTGCTATAATACTGTATGGTCTATTACAATATTCATCTCTGAAATACTTTTATCCTCTACAGATTTAGTTGTCTTTATCACTTGACACATTTCTTTGGCTGCTGAATTTCTGTTTCAAAATGTATACAGAAAGATTATGTTTAGAGATATTAAAACTATGTTAGAGGCCAGGCGGTGGTGGCACACGCCTTTAATCCCAGCACTTGGGAGGCAGAGCCAGGTGGATCTCTGTGAGATCGAGGCCAGTCTGGGCTACCAAATGAGTTCCAGGAAAGGTGCAAAGCTACACAGGGAAACCCTGTCTCGAAAACAAAACAAAACAAACGAACAAACAAACAAAAACTATGTCAGAGTAGTTTCTCACCACTTTCTGAAAATTTAGCTACTATTCTTTAGATTTATGTTTTTAAATTACATATTTTCTTTGCTTTTTTCCCCTTACATCTTTTTGTTTCAAAATGTATTCATGAGAGATAATAGAAAAAACAGAGAGATTTTTTAGGATGCCTTAAAAACTTAGAGAGTATATGACAATCCTAGGAATAAACCCTAGGTTACCAGGCCTGATGCCTAAAAAGCAAATGAAGGATTTTGGGATGCCCACATACCCTGCAGCTGTCCCACATGAAACAGATTTATACATTAATGACCATAATAGTGGGAAATACCATATATACTAGTGCAGTAAGCATATAGAAACTTCTTCCCTCAAATTTTTTGAAAAGCTTCGAGAAAAATATATTTGATGAGATTTTTAGATATGTTTAAGTTTTTCCTAC